TATTTTTGTGCAGCAGTTAAAAGTCCTGCAGACTTTATAGAATTTTTTTTTCTCCTTGCCACTACTGAGTTGCACCTTGAGTGGCACAAAATATTTTTTGCAGTCCATAGGAGGTAAAATCACACTGGACATTCAAAGCAAGCAGCACTTGTAACCCACTGACCTGCAGGAAGAGAAAGGCAATCTTACCAATCCTAGCACTCATTTAGAAAAAGTTTCAGAGTTAATAAATCCTTCAATGAGGAGGAAAAAGGAGCAGCTACTCCTTTATTGCTCCTGACATAAGGCATGAGTATCTATGGTTACATCCAGGGCTGCCCAGGGGTTAAGTTCTGTCAACTCTGGCTGATGTTATGAGCAACTCATATAATTATCAGTTTTGCATCCTTAAGAAGTCCTGTCATCCTCTGTGAAGCAGGAAATGTCACTGAAGTCTTTTGAGGAAAAGATTAATTTTTGAGCAACCTGGTCTAGTGGAAAGTGTCTCTGCCCATGGCAGGGGTTTGGAACCAAATGGTCTTTGAGATCCCTTATAATCCAAACCATACTCTGGCTTTATGATTCAAAACAAGGCAAAGCAGATGAATTCATCCCCTAAATTACATCACAGGTAAGAAACAGCTGTGTTCACATATTAGACACAAAATCAAGGGCCATGTGTCCTGCCAGGAGCTGCCTGATCATCTCCAGCTGGCTTTCAGAAGTACCTTCTACAGCCACAACCAGAATCCAGTGGTGATGTGTGAGGATAAACCAAACTGATGGATGAGAAAGGCACTGGGATTGCCCTTTAACTGCTCTGCAGCTTGAATAAAATCACAGCATCACAGGGCAAGAGGGAAGCTTCTATCCAAAGTCCTGTCTATAGGACACACCAAAAAAATTATCAAGCCCAGGTTCAAACCCATCTATGAAGAACCAACATCTGCCCAGAGCAGCACAGCAGGAATCCAAATCTGGCTGAGTCCTCTCATTGCTCAGTGACAGCAAATGAACAGAGCACACACTGCTAGACACAATCAATCCCTGTTTGTCCTTAAGGATAACTCATCACCTAAAGGCAGGAATTCCCCTAAGAACTCCATCATTACAGTACTGTGACACAAAGTGCTTGTAAGTGACACCAAGTCCTCCATGACCACAAGCAGCTCCTGCTTTTTTGGAAACAGGAATAAGGTTAGTCTTGCACCCAGCTAGGAGCACATTACCAGTGCCAGATGCATCCATACACAGACCTCAGATGTGTGGATGTTGCTCTCTACCAGTTTTTGGAGAATTTAAAATAATTTCTACAATTCTGGGAGTAGCTAATCTAACAGTGTTTTTATGAAGGGCAAGAAAATCAGCAGCAGTCAGCTTGGATTCACTGAGGGGAAGTTGTGCTTGCTCAGCTTAACCTTCCACAATCAAAGTCTGGCCTGGCATGGGAGAGCTGTGGGTATTGTCTACCTGGACTTCTGTAAGCCTTCCAAATATTGTCATCTGTGAGATCCTCCTGACAAAGCAGCCCTTGAAGCTGCAGGAGCAGCCACCAAAAGCTGCCTGAATGATCAGTGGCTCAGGGTCTGGCTGGAGGCCAGGAGCTGTGGGTGAACTCCAGGGGTCAATGCTGGGTCCAGCCCTCTTTAACACCTTCATTAAAGCAAATTTGCAGATCACATGGACTGGGAGGAATGGCAGCTACCTCAGAAGGTCACCCAGAGGGACCTGGGCAGGCTGGGAAGAGGCTGGCAGGAACAGCATGGAGCTTCCATGAGAAATGCCAAGTCCTGTAGCTAACGAGAAGCAATCCCAGGCAGGAACATGGGATTAATTCAATGTAACACAAGGTGAAAATTATTGCTCAAGGCCTCTTGCACCAAGTGCTGTGAGGACTGAAAGTTCTCACTCCCCATTAGACTTCTGCTTGTGGAGCAAGAAGGATCTGAGAGTTTAAGATCCTCTTTGAAACCTCCCATATTTGTCTATCTTCAAAAGAACTGTATGATGTTACAACATCTATTTTCTCTTGCACAGAAGGGTAGAACACCCTGACACACTCAAATCTCCCACAGGAGCCTGGTTTCAGATAAGCCTCTCCTAAGGCAACCTCTTACAAAGACTGCAGCACATGAATTACATCTCCTTCTGAACTTCCTTCAGAATACAAAGCTCAAGGCTAAGAAATCCTATTTTCTGTTGCCACAATAAAAAGCAACCAAATGGAACGTGGGTTTTGGTTGCAGAGTTGCAAGTACAGGGGAATAGGGTGTAATCCCAGCTCTCCAAATCACTTTCTGCATGTCCTTGGGCAAGATATGTCTTGTTCCTGCCTCTCTCCCTCCATGGCTATTCAGACAGAAAGTTCTTCAGGGCAAATCTCACTTTTCATGTAAGAGTGGCAAAGCAAACTTAAGAATTTGACAATGGTAATGTTAAAAATGTTCCATGCAAGCTCCATCTCATATCAGATTTTAGTGATTTTACTGAGCAGGCAAAGTGATAAAATAACAGGTGAAATTCAACATAGGTTAAGTGCAGAACAGTGCAGGTGAGAAAATAAATCATAACCCATGTGCTTAATGATGGGCTCTGAAATAGCTGCTACAGCTCAAAAACACCTTGGGGTTTGAACAATTAGGAAGGTAATCAAGTCACTAAATCCCCACTATTAATATAGTAGCCAGTGTTCTGAATTAAGAAGAGAACAAGGCAGTGATGCCATTGTGCAAATCCCTGCTCTTAAGACCTCAGGGTTGTTAATGCACCAGGCACCTCATTCAGCTCTGGGCTGACACGTCCTACACGTCCCTCTCAGCCTCCTGCTGGCTTCAGGACACTCAGATCTCTCTAATTCTAATCTGAATTCCCAGAAGCAGTTCATACTGAGCCCAAGAGGAGATGCAGTTATTCAATGTATTAGAGAATGACAGCATTTACACAGGTGCTTAAGCCAAGGAATTAAAGGTTAAATTTAGGAAATCATACCTGAAAAACACCCAGTGCTTCACTTGAAGCACTAAAGCAGTAAGGTAAATGTTCCTAACAGCCCATCATCCTCTTCACTTTCTGTGAAATCAGAACCTTTTAGGGCACCACACAAAAAGAGAAACAAAAATATTATTAATGCTTCAGACCAGTCACCATGAATGTACATGACAGAGTGAGGTGGCTGCACAATATCCAGGGTGTAAAGACAAACCATCAAATAAAACTTGGTAGCTGCAAAGAGCTCCAAATTAGGAGCTGCTGAGCCTTTGGAAAGGGCACTCACTGATGCAACAGAGGAGAAAACTGGATGTGTAAGCAGGAGGTGTTAGATAAAAAGTTACTTGAGAAGCTACTAGAAATAGAAGTCAGTGGCAAGATTCCAGAGGAGGCCAATTCTCCAGCAGAGAAGTAAATTCAGAACCAAATATTTCAAGGTATGCAAGGTACAAACATGCCTGAGGAAGTCTGAGCCAACACACTGTGTTGAAAAACAGGGAGAAGTTGCATTTGCCAAAAAATGCTTCCTGCTAAGGAGACAAAGCCCACAGAGCTCAGTGAGTGCCTGAACCTCTGCAGGTTTCCAGAGCTGTGCAGGTTTGCTTGCATCACCTGCTCACACACCTGGCTCCACTGTCACGTGTTTGTGCAGCCTCCACCACACAGATGGAACTCAGGGGAGGTAAATCTGCTTCAGTGTCCCCATGGTACAGAAAAACATCTCATTTATTGCATGAATCTCCTACACAAAATACTAAATGAACAAACCTTCTCCCCTACATTTTCATGGATAAACTTTACTCCTGTCTTCAATCACAATAAGGATTTTCAGAATGAAATGGTTCAAAAGTTGCCAATAAAGCCATTCTCAGCAAATGGAAAACCTTCAAGTTATCAGACTGGAAGCTGAGAAGCTGGTGCTGAAAAGCAGAACAGCTGGTTCAAGGCACACAAAACAGCCTGTGTACCTCAGGAAATACTTACAGCCTAGTCACTCAAGAGGTATTTGCTGAAATAAGAGCCATAAATATATCACATTGCTTAAAGCCAAATCATATTTCAAGCTAAGTTCAGATCACATTCTATCTGCTACCAGTGGTTAAACTTTCTACAGCAGCCACTCCAATTATTTGAGTACTACAAGCAAACCTATGCTAATTCACAGCAGGCTAATCTGTTTTACTACACAGCAGCAAAGACCTTAAAGTGTTGCTCAAAAACAAGGAGAAAACAAAGAGCAGAGGCAGGAAGAGATCTAGATTCTGTTTTTGCCTCAAGTCCTGTGGTTTTGATGTCAGGACTGTTCCTCACCTCTGCTGCAGTGAGGGTGGAGCAGAGGAAGTGCCCAGCTCTGAGGAACTGCCCTGCACAACACAAGAGCACAGTAAGGAAACCAACACACAGCAGGTAAAATACCAGTTTTTTAAAAAAAGATTCTGTTTTACAATCAAATGTTTGTACAGAGGTTGGTGGAACACAAGCAGACAAAATAAGCAAAACACAAGAGCCAAGGGTTTGTCATAGAAATCTGCAGCCAAAACTCAACAAAAGGGCAAGAACTGCAGATATTCACAGCGTTGAACTACAGGTGTGTCCCCCCTCCCCCCAGTCCATGTGTATAACAGGAAAAAGACATCCAGCATCAGCTTTCAAACAGCTAAAATGCCCTCAGGGCTCACAGCCACTTCAGTATCTCCACAACTCTGGGTGCAATGGGGCACAGAGACAAGTGCCACCACTGCAGAGTCCCCTCTTGGCAACTTTGTCACACACTGTTCCCAAACAGAAAGCCAACATAAAACCAGGAGCAGAGAGAGCTGTGTACTATTTTACATCAAGTTAAAACTAAGAGTAGTAGTGTTTAGTAGTTTGGTTTGTCAACTCCTCAGATTTTCATGAGAACTTCCCTCCACGGCCTCCTACTTTGAAAACTTCCACAAGCACTCCTTCCCAAAAGAAAGCCCAACTCTGATGGCATTTGATTTCAAAAATAGAAATATAAAAAGAAAGAGCAAATGCCAAGTTTGAAATGGTTAAACAAAGTTAGTTGCCTATGTGTGAGTTAAAGATTGAGATTCTGACAGCTGGCCAGATACAGGAAGGAGTTTCCCTTCTCCCTACTAATGACCTGCAATGAGTTATCCCTGGATATTCCAGCAGAGAGCTCCTGCTCAGAGTCTTAATAATTCCCTCCTTTCTCCATTTCCCTGGATTACAGATAAATTTTCTTTTGCTCTGTGAAGCCAGACTCAATCCTTGTTATTTCAGTCTCCATTCTGGCACAGAAGCTTTGTCCTGGAGTCAGGAGTACAAATCAGCTGCAACTGTGCAATGACCCAAATCACTGGTGTGCAGAGATGAGGACTCAGGAGAGCAAGGCTCTAACTCTAGGAGAGACCATCAGGGAAGAGAAGATCACAGCACACAGTCCTTGTCCAAAGCTTCATACTTATTGTGGATCCAGCACAGGGACTCCATGATGAAGCACCAGAACAAAGAAAGCAGGAATACAAAGCATCTCCTCAGCAGTGGGTTTTCAACAGAGCAAAGTCATCTGAAAGCTCAAAAAAAAAACCAGGATCCCCAGAGCAGAAAGCAGAAATGTGCAATTCAAAACCACACAGACGTGAATCTTACTTTCAAAGGGCTTTATATTACAAAAAACCATAAGTGACAACGAATGTGTAAAATCCATTCAATGAGGCTTGTTTCCAGTCTGCCAGGAAAGCTGCTTTTCTCTTCTTTATTCCCAGCCTACTGCTGAAAACCTGATTGCCAAAACAATGACACCTCGAGCTAGATTTTTAAAATCAAACTTGTTCTGCCAGATCCAGCACTCTGAACTTGTCCAGGTTGTAGAAACAAGCCTTCACCACTCTGCCTCCAAAGTATCTTCCATTTAGATCAACAACAGCTGGAATTGAAACAAAGAGCAGATCAGCAAGCAGCAATTCAATAAAATAAACATCTCTTTAACTAAACAGCCTGAGCAGTGAGACTGTTTAATCTCTCTACAGAAGTTAGCTCTGAGCTGCACAGGACACAATTTAGGATCCTACCTTTGATGGCAGATTCAACCCGTTCAAACTCTAAAAATATTCTTACAGCTTCATCATCAGGGGCACCAGGGATCTGAAACAAAACAAAAACCCCAAGCCACAAGTAATTAAAACAGTAGTGAGAACATTGTTTTCAATTGCTTTTCTTCTCAAAGGCAGTGAAAGAACAAAATAAAAAGGTTCCAAAAACACAACACTCAAGTGGTTTTTACACAGTTGCTATTGTTAGAAGCTTGTATCTTACAGATACAGAAAATCCAGAATTCCAACACAGTAAAGGACCCTGAGAGATTTTCTATGTATGCCTCTTTTAGGCAGTAACACTCCAGGTGTGAGGGATGAGTGCCCAGTTTGCTTTCAGAGCAGCCAAAAATAGAGACAGATTATCTCTTACCTCAAAGATGACACATTTCCCAACCTTGCCATATTTCTCACATTCCTCCTTAGTTTCAACTTCAAGGTCTTCATCCACCTCCCCAGCACCAACCATGTTCTGAAAGTCAAAAACAAACCCAGCTCACTGGATGGAGTCTGTGCAGGTGATTGTGCAGACAAATCACAGATGCCCTGTGAACTGTGACCACAAATACTTTAAAAACTTAAGAGCTACATGAGGAGACAGTTCCCTGTCCTAAGGCAAGGGAACTGCACAACTTGCAGCAGTGTTGATTTAAAATCACAGTTTGTATCCCAGAAGTCAATAATTCCTCCAGAACACAGAACACTGTGGGTGCAGGCCAGAACCATTTGAACTGTGCAGAGTTTTGTATCAGGAACAGAGATTTTAACATTTCAGCACCAAGACACATTCCCTGACTCCCAACTCACCCTCAGTAAGACCACTTTGGTTGGGCATTTCAGGATCTCAGTTAAGGGGTTGGAATCTGCCTTCTTGCCCGTTTCTGTTTGAAGACAAAACAGTGAATCGTGCTATAATTTAAGATTAAAGCTCAATTAGGGACTTTTATCAGAATCTTATTGATCAAATGGAATAAAAGCTACAAAATGTACTTTCATATTGGTGAGGAATAGTTATTCACAACTTGCAGCTACCTGGAATGGCAGTAAGCAGAAAAATAAATTCCAAAGGTGTGAATTCAGCAGTAACACTGACAATGTACAACTTCTGAGAGGGAAATAATTCCTAAACTCAAAATTGCATCTAAGAACTACAAGACTAAAAGTATTCTGCCTTCTACCACTTGTGCTCAGAAACCTGGATGTTGTATCAAGATCAGACAAGAGCAGGGAAATGACAGCAATATCAACAGGATGTGACAGGGAAAGAGCTTTAAGGGCACAGCAGGATCAGCCCTGGAAGTGAAGATGCTTCCCCAACACTAAAAGAGGACAACTGATGAAGGAATAGAAGGATGAGCTAAAAAAATGCATACAGGATCACTTTACAAAAAGATAAAAAAATATAAATTTCTACAAGAACAAATATGACTCATTTTTCCAACTCTAATGTTTTCAACAAGGACAGATTGTAAACAGAAATCCAGGAGCTTCATTTCTCATACATTTGGTGCAGGACACAATTACCTTTCTCTGTAGATTCACCAACAATGATCTTGCCACCCCTCTTGCTTGTTTTCTCTACTGACAGTGCTGTGCTGAGCCCCTGTTCATGTTTGCCCAGTCCCTGGCCCTCTCTGAAACCATATTTCTGCATGATTTTGTGAGCAACTGTCCCCCTGCAATGAGAAAAAGAAAAAAAAATTCATAAAGGTTCTTCCACAAAACATTAACATTGCATTTCTCCTGAGTGCTGGAATATCCTACCTCCTAAAACTGCCTTACACAGGGGCAGAAAGTACAGGAGCTTCTACAAGTTACATGATTTTTTTCTAAGCAAAAGGCTAAAAAGTCTGGCTATGTAATGCTGAAAGATTAAAACACTAAGTCACAGAAGAAATAGCCAATTGTGTGGTCAAAGTAAGGCAGGTCAGGTCAGATTTTTAGCCCTTCCTTCAATGAAGTCAGGGTTCCATGGTAATACTAATTAGAGGTGGTAGCAATGCACAACCTGGTCCAACAATACCAAGTTTGGTTATCTTTTTCTGGACAATTAAAAAAAAAAACGCAACAAACCCAAAAATGACATCTCTAAGCTGTTTTTAGCTATAAATTCGCCTTCATTTGTTGCCACAGTAGTTGACACAACATCACATACAAGACAGGAAAGTAACTGGGCAGATTTGCAGCCACAGCTGCTACATTCATGTAAAACACATTCTGAATTTTACAACAAAGCAGAGCTGAAATGATTTAAAATATCAATTTGCTGGTATGTAGCAAATTTAAGAGAAAGCTGGAAAAGAAATCTAGAAGAACTAACATGGCACCTGTGTTTTCAAGTACACTTCATTGCCATAAACACTTTATGCTGGAGTGTGGCTTAAAAGCACAGCCTTGAATGCAACCACCTCAGATGTGTTTTTCCCAATCCTGTCAATCCACATTTTTCCCTCTATCCTGCCAGTTTGGACTCTCTGAACTCAGACTAACCCCACACATGCAATGGATTGTGCTCTTCTCTCCTGACAAACTATTTCAAGTTTTGGTTTCCACCACCTTCCAATGCCTTTCCCCACAAAATGTGCAGGAGTCACTGGTTTATTTACCCCATGTTGGCAAGGAAGGAGTTGCTGGGTCCTGTGGGGGAACGAGGTCTCTCTGGCTCATCATACACTGGGGGAGGAATTGCTGCTTTGGAAGAAGGTGCCCGAGGTCTTGACTCCTCCTCATATGGGAATGATGCTACAGCTGGAAAAAACAGACACATTTGGGTTTTTTTCAATAAAATCCTAACAAACTATGAAAAGGTTTTACACATAAATCCAAATGAGAAGAATGTTTCCTTTGCACATCCTGTTTTGACATCCCCTCACTTCTCTCTCTGAAACAACATCTGAGTTATTCTGGGTTTTCCTCATTGGATATAGATTGGATTTGAATCCAATCCAATATAGAATCTATATCCTCATTAGATATAGATTTCCACAGCTCTAGAATGTATTTATTAACCTCTTATTAAATGGAGAAAAAGAACATTAAGACACCACCTGCACTACAAAGAGATTATCCAGAGGACAAACTCTCATTCATCAGGAATAGAATTAAGACAAAAATGGATCAATGCACACAACTCAAGGCCCAAGGACTGTAATAAAAAGACACTGCACATTTGCAGAGAAATCAGTCTATTAAAAAGAATGAATGCAACTCATCTCACTGGAAATTTCTGAACTGCAGCTATTCCTGGGGATGGAGATGGATCTGGATATCTCAATCATACTGGTTAGATTATTAAATCACCTTCCACTGACAAGTCAAATAGCAAAATGAAAATTTAAAAAGCCTACTGGAACACTAGAAAAAAAATCCCTTTTAAATGGACTTTTATCAGACTGACCTAATTTTAGGATATTTTCTTGTACACTAGCTCTTGTATCTTATCAAATAAAAGGTCAGACATGAAGTTTGAGGATATATTATGAGGAAAAATAATTCCTATTTAAACAGAAGATGGACTAGACTATGGGACTTTTGCTACACCAATATTTTCTTGTTTTCTTCCAGCCTGGATTTGAGCACCAAGTAAGAAGCAATACAAAGATTTCCTTGTCACATTTTAAAAACTCTCCCCTTAAGGATATTTCTATTTCCAGCCTATATTTACTTTTCCTTGACACTGATCAATTGCTCTTAATTATTTACTCAAAACAATGTGACTGTTTATACATATCAAATGCTTTCACTGTATCATTCACTTAAGTTCTGAGATACTTTCTACATTTTAATCTTGTCATAAATACAATGAGGACTTTTAAAAAAAATTCTGTGTGCATAAGATTTTTTTCTTATTATTATTTTTTAAAGCAGAAGCATACTGGTAATTGCTTTAAATTTTAAAATTTACAACAGTTAGACATGGGGAAAAAAAGGGAACGGTTTTGTTCCTCTAGCAGGATGATGCCATCTTGTGGACAACTGAGATCCTCACACCACCACTGCACACAAATCTCTTCAGCTAAACTGCATCCTAGAAAAATTTATAAAATTCTGTCTCTAGTGCAAAAATCCTTTATAAAATATATTCACCAAGAACCTCCTCAAGGAAAGAGCAATGGAAAAATTCCTTCTCCAGACTGTGGAGGTTTCTAATCTACCCACAGAAATCTGCCTATGATATTTCTTTCATATCAGAAGTGAGTAGCTGCACATGGTTGTAAGAGCCCAGTTTGCCAAGCCACTTGTCCAGCAGTACAGAAAGATTTCTTCAGCACAGAGATGTGGAGCAAAGCAGCATCTCAGGTCCCCCACAGCCTCCCCCCATGAACCAAGAACTTGTTCATGCCCTGCTGCTACAAAGAATCCAATGGGAAAAGCAGGAGGACTTAACTAAATAGAAAGTTGTGCAGGAAATGAACACTGCTGGGTTCAGAGAAGAGGATTTTGGAGTACTCACGTTCTTTGTCCTTCTCCACAAGAGAAGTGGGTGGTGCAATGGCAGCTCCTCCCATACCTGTGAGCAAAAGGGAACACAACACATTTGGAGAATATCACAACAGACTTGAATTATTTACTGTAACTTTGTTGCTGAAAGACAATGAAGACTATTTTTTTTTATTCAAAGGCATATTTCTGACCCACATCACTTGACAAGCTCTAAGGGCACTGACGTAACAAATGCAGGAATGAAAAGCTGCAATAGTGAAAACTCAGAGATTCTCACAGCCTGATTTTATGTCATGCCTCACCCCTTCCCTGGAACCTACACCATGCAGAAACTTACAACAGGTATACAAACTAAGGTTAAACAGAGGTATTTCCACAAGTAATTTGGCTGCCACCTGCCTCCATGGAAAAATACCAGTATTCTACATTCTATTATGTTGTAATAAAATATCAGATTTATTCTAAAGGCTCAGAATGAACAGTGTAGTCAAGTGAAGACAGAGAAATCCATGAAACAGGACTGTGAATTCCCCTCCCTCTTTTTCTCCTCTTTCCACACCAGAACCATAAGCAGTTCCTTACTTCTTTTCCGTCTCTCCCTCTCATAATCTTCATCTTCATCAGAATCTGGGTCTGGTCGTCTTGAAAAGCCACTGGCTTCATGTCTGTCCTTACGCCTTCTAGGAGACACAGCAAGTCAGGATGAGAAACCATGGAAGTTAACTCTTGCTTTTAATTTGTGATCCCACCTCTGCAGGGTGAATTATTCTGCTCCATCCAACTGGCATTAACACATTTCCCATGAAAGTGCAAGCTAACACCTTCACCATTTGTTTCTTTGCTTTTACCATCATGGGGCATTTTTGGTTAAACAGAAGATGGATCTAAGTCAAGATTATTTTCTACTTGCAAGTGAGCCAAGAAGAATGCATGGAAAGGAGGAAGAATCTGAATAAATCCTGTCCAAACAGAACAGTGACTGAATGGAATAAGTCTTGCATGGAACAGAGAGCAAGGTAACAGACATAAATTAACCAATCACCCTGCTTTGGACAGAATCCCTTTTATATTTCCCATCACAGACTAGTAACATTTACTGAGTAAAAAAATATTCTCATGCTTAAACATCAGATTGTTGTGACACTTGCTTGGCAATTAAAATAAGATTCAGGAATAATTTCTAGTAAGAAGTAAGGAATGCTTCAATATTTGCACTTCAGCTGTTCTCTGATGTGATCAGGAAGTTGCTCATTCTAATACAACAAAAAGGAAAAGCGCTTTTCCTCAAAAGTTAAGTGCACCACCTGGTGTACAAACCAAATCTCATTCCTAGCACAGCCACCAAAACTGTGCTAAAGGATGACAAAAACAGATCTACTGTGGAACCACACAGAATTTCTGAATCTCTACCCTATGAAATCAAAACAAATGCCCAGCCTGAGCTTCCAAAGCACAATCTGATGAAGGTTTGGCTGAGATTGTTTCCCCTGCTTGAAATCAGAATTTATTATGTACTTTTCACCTCTTTTCTCTAATGTTTATATGTATAAAAATATAACTAAAGAGCAGTCAAAGCTGAAGCTGTGGGAATGACATCCCAGATTCCTGAGATGTTGCATGCCAGCAGGGCAGAGCCTCAGGCATTCCTTCTCCATCAAAACAACAAAGTTAAAACCAAGAGAAGACAGAGAAGACCTAATGACTAGAGATATAAATTTCCACAATCTAAACAGGACAGCAGAACTGTAATTCCAGATGATTCATACTCTGATGAGGATGGTTTATTCACTTCACTTGAAATGAGCAAATGTAATCTTCTGCTTGGCTGGCAGACATTTTACCACTTAGAACAATCAGATACTGAACCTGCATTCAACTTCCTTAACATGATTACAGACATTTCTTATTTCAGGGAAAGGGCATTAAAAATAAAGCAGTATTTTCTTTTGTCCAGAGACAACAGATTAATAAACACATAATTAACTTACTTAATAATTAAATTAGTGATTGCAGAGTATTAAAAAAGGAAATGCAATTATGCCTCTCAAAGGCTGTACTAGCTACATTTAAAACTGAATGCATCCATGGATCAGTTTGTAGTTTTTAGAAGCAGAAAGGATGGTTCATCACTTAGTGTTGAAAAAGTTTTTCTGTAGTGAGGTGACAATGACATCAAATACTCTAAAACACCTGCAAGGTCAAAGTCTGATAATGATGCATGAAGTACCCAAATATTGCTGCTATTATTGAAACAAAGTAAATTTAGAATCGTTTTGACAAGGGACTTTCACCCAAAGAGGCTGCAAAGCTGATAATTGTTATTGTTTTTGCACTATTTGGTGATTTTTACCAAGAGCATTAAAACACATTAATGAAAACACTGCTCTTGTTTCTACAAGCATGCAGTATTCACACTCTCAGAACTTCCAAGAATGTAGAGAGATAAAATTAAATAAATTGACATGGTTATTTAGATACTATGTCAAGCCTCTAAACAAAAGCCTTACTTTTCTCTCTCCTCAATCTCCTTCTGCCTCTCCAGCTCCCGCTGCCGCTGCCGCTCCTCCCTCTGACGTTTCACCACCTTCTCGTAGTCATTTGGGAACATGGGATCATACTCATCTGCCAGGGGAATCAACACATCTCCTGCAGAAAAACCACTGGGGACAGGATCCTGGGAAAAAGAGAAATTATTTTTTTGAGCTGAGATCTGAAAACAACACCCAGCTGGAAAGGAAAAATTTAGCACTTCTGATTTCTTCTGTAACGTCAGGTAATATCCTAATCCCACTGGTGCTGGAAGAAATCTTGGTTTTATTTAAACCTAACATTTCATCCAGTCTCTCATTACATGAAATTTTTCCCATGAAGAAAGAACTACCCCCTCCCCTTGCAAAATGCAAAGCAGCAGCAAATCAGCATGGACAGCAATTTTTCAAACCCCACTACTGCATTATTAGAAGTTTTATGGCATCTTTTTGCTGCAACCATCTGCAGGGTCCTCCCACACAATCTCATCAGGCTTTTTATCAGCTGCTACTAATGTAATACCAACAGAGGCACACAAACTCTTCTCTAATCTGAAAGAACCATTTCAGAACTTTTGCTTTGAAAAAGCTGCAGGGAGAGAGTTTCTCTTGAATCCTTACCACAAGAAATTCATTTAAAAGGTTAGGTGGCTTTAGTTCTTTTATTTATCAGTTGATTGTTATACAAGTCCAGTTCCAACACTGGTGCAAACACAATTATAGTTATTATTTACCTGCCCAAATTGCTGTCTTGCCAAGTAATTTGAAAGATTCTAGGATTCTAAGATGTCCAGGATTCTAAGAACACATTTTTATAACTGCACATTAACCGTGGTAATTCCATGCTGCACCACACATAAGTCTGAATAAAGTTGAAATGTTAATTAAAAACTCTCAGCAGAGGAAGATATTCTCTGAAAATAATCAGTTTTTTGACCACTAGGAAACATTCAACTTCCAAAACATCTGGAACTTTCAGCTGCCCTGGGCTTACCTTCAGCCCAGCTGCCACGTGAGGGGGAGTGTCCACGATCTGCCTCTCATCAGAGGAGCTGCCTCGTTTCAGGTCAATCACTGGAGCAAGGACTGTGGTTTGTTTTGTTCTCTGACTCTGCAAAAATCACCAAAACACACAATGTCTAAAAAAGATAAAGCAGTTTTCTAAAAATCAGCTTGCTTGGTATACTTTGCTGTAGGTGAATAGTCCTAGGTTTTGACTGAGAGCAGAAACACACATTAAAAATTCATCCAATCACTTCAGGTGAGTTTGAACTGAGTTAGTTTCTAAGAAACTTAGATTTATTTCAAAGATCTACTATTCTTCCCATTTATCATCAGATAAAATATTTTAAACTCTTCTGAACTCTTGAGTTTTCTAATCCTATTCTATTTTTCTGCTGGGCTATGGACACACTGCACATCAGTTACATGGACAAAGAATATAACAAATACAGCAGTCAGTAAATTTCATCCATGCAGTTTGTTCCAATTATCAACTAAATCTTGCCCCAAATTTCAGCAGCATAAATCAGGAGTAATTCTAGTGGAAAAAATGCTGTGGCTACTTAGGTGTCTGCCATCAGAGTTACTGCTTTCTTTTAATTAAGTAATTTCACAACAGAACCTACAGAGCCCAAAGAGCACCTGTGTCCTGCCTGAACCAAAATATCAACACTGCTCAAAGAAAAAGGGTGAAATATAAAGAAGCAGCAATAAAAAGAGAAAATGGCTCTGTCACAGTCTAATAAGCATCAGCTGGCACTCCTTCTTTTCATCTGCTCTGGAAATATTTGCTGTAAAATTTCTAATACATAATGATTTGCAGGTAAGCACCAACAGCCTTTAAATAACAGCCATAAATGATGTAAACATGTAAATAATCAATCATAGAGTAACCCCTATTTACATTAAAAAATAATTTTATAAAGCTGAATCTCATTATCTTTAAAGCTAAACTTGAAGATCAGCTTTTGGCTCTGCTGGCTAAAAGCTCAGAGGTTTGCAGCACATACATCAGTGTTCCTTCAGTTTTAATTTTGCAACACTCCCTCTTAGAGACATCAAGAAAAATGAATTTTCCCTTTTCCCCCTTCAGCTTTGCCAAGCTCTTTGCCACAAACTCACAGACAAATGCCAGCAAAATTACCTGATTATCAAATCAGTATTCTGAGGTCACAAACAATGCACTGAACATGAAAGAAGTCTGAAAAACAGGAAGGGACTGTACCTTTGCTTGTGTGAGAGCTGCTTTCTTCACCTGCAGCTGAGACTGCAGCAGTTTGAAATTCTTGGACCAGCCTTCTGTTTTGGAATCGCTGGTCTCAACCCCCAAGTCATCGTAGAGTGACATTTTCTTTTCAATTTAAAACTGAAAGACAAAAGGAAAAAATCTCCAAATGACACCATAAATCTATTTCCAGGTTATTTGCTAATAGTTTTTGAGTACCCCACCTTTTATTTCACTTTTCCTAAAGCCAGAGAAAAGTGACCTTTTTCTGGCTAGTGGTAAATATACATAACTATAGAGCAAAGCTGTATAAAAGTAACAGTTTGAGAGGTGATGAGAACTGCTCAAGAATTAATTGAATCCTGCAGTGGAATATGAACAATTAGGGCTCAATAGCAAGAAGTTTACTGCAAAAAGAAAAGGTTTTTGAGGATTATCTGGCTTTAGGATGAACGTAGAGGGGGGTATAAAGGCACAGATGCACAGGATGAGGACAGGGTGTTGCAGGAATTCCCACCTGCCACAGAGCAGTGGGATTTTGGCAGCAGGACCGATGCTATCCAGGGGGAGGCAGCATGCACTGGGGAATCACAGAATCAATCCAGGTGGGAAAGATCTCTGAGATCATCGAGTCCAACTCTTGTCTGAGGATCAGCTTGTCACCCAGACCAGAGCACTCAGTGCCACATCCATTTTTAAGTTGGACATCTCCAGGGATGGAAACCTCACCACCTCCCTGGGCAAAACCTTAACCACCCTTTCTGATAAGAAATTCTTCCTAATGTCCAACCTGAACCTCCGCTGGCACAGCTTGATGCCATCTCCTCTTGTCCTGTCGCTTGTTACCTGCGAGCAGAGCCCGACCCCCTCGGACTGTCCCCTCCTGTCAGGGACTTGTGAAGAGCGAAAAATTCCCCCTGAGCCTCCTTCGCTCCAGGCTGAGCCCCTCCAGCCACTCCTCCTCAGAGCGGTGCTGCAGACCCTTCCCCAGCTCAATGATGGATGGATGGCGCTGTCACCGCGGGAAGGGACACGGCAGCGAGGCACAGGAGCTGTCCCCACGGTAAAAGTAAGGGCGGGTTGCGACCTCCGTCACTCTGGGAGCAGAGGGGGCAAAGCAGGCCCTGACAACCCCCCCTCCCCCCCCCCCCCCCCCCCCATTCCACACAAGCCCGGAGCCGTCCGAGGAGCCGCTGAGCGTGGCACACCCGCCCTGCCCTGCCCTCCCACACCGCTCAAGGCCCGGAGCCGCTTCCCCACACGGCCGAGCCGGGCCCGGAGCCGCCGCTCACCCGTCCCGGCGCCGCCGCCGCCATGAGCCGGCGCTGAGCCCGCCGGGAAGGGCCGCGCCTGCGCACTGCGCCCCGCGCCGCCGCCGCCACAGCGCCCCCCGGCGGCGGGAGGAGGGAGCGGCAGCGCCGCCATTGCCGCCCTCACGGCCGTTCTGAGGGGATGGGAGGGCGGCACGGCTAATCCCGGGAGTTTGGAGGGCGGCACGGCTAATCCCGGGGACTGGGAAGGCGGCACGGCAAATAATATCGCAGTCAGGCTGGGAGGGCGGCAGGGAGTGCAGGAGGCGGCTGGAATGCTGTCCCCGCCCCAGCTGCCCTTGCGGAAGATAAGCCCGGGTTCCTTCGGGTTCTCACGGTGCGCGCCGAGTGTGATCTGCGCTCTCGGAGGTTATTTATTTAATGATAGAATGCCTGAACCACGTCCGAAGGAGGCCACGGGGATGGGGAAGGGTTTAGAGGGGAAGCCCTGAGGGCGCTTGGGTTGTTTAGAAGCATTGGACAGCCTCACTGGAATCTTCAGCGTCCTCCCGAGAGCAAGGGGGCAGGCGCTGCTCTCTGTGGTGACAGTGACAGGAGCCGAGGGCAGGGCTGAATTTATACCAGCACTGTTTGCTCTGGATGTTCTGTGTGAAAAATGCATGTATTTTATGATTGGCTTTTCGCAAATATTAAAATGAATATTATATGTGTTGTGTTAGAAAGTAATGCTGTATTGTAGTGTGTTAAATATAGTTTTGGGTTATTAAAAAATGTTAAAATAGAAACTAAGCTATGTAGGATACTTTTTTTAAAGAAAGGACTCACAGCGAGATAGCAGCCACAGGACACCTGAATCTTTCAGAGAAAAAGAATTTATTGCTCCATTATCAGAAGAAACGAACTTCCCGCCTCGAAGGCACTGTTAGGATTCAGAAGAAGAAGTTGACACTGACCAGACAGAATCCTGTGTTTGAATGGAATTTATTCATCATATATGAGATGTATGAATATGCAACAGGTTGTTGTTTTTAAGGGTTAATCCTTTGTTAATTGGGTCCTTTTTTGAGCTCGTGCTGCCCAGAAAAAGGTACCCAGACTGTCTGTAACTCTTTGTCTCTATTGTCTCATATTGTCCTAATTCAAATTATCCAAATTATTATTACTCTAATTGTATTACTATTTTTATAACCATTTTATTACTATTAACCTTTTAAAATTTTAAAAACAAGTGATTAGCTTTTTTCACATCCTGTTATAATTTTCCATAATTTTCCAGTGTTTCTAATTCCTGAAGTAATCTGTGTGTGGAGGTACCAGTCATTGGTTTCTCTGGGTCTGGATTGAAGGCACTTGAGATGGCAGTTCATGTTCAGACTCAGGTGTTTATTATTTCTTATCAGTAAAACAGTCTCACTACTGTGAGTTCTGCAGCTTTTCATTAGAAGGCACAAAATGGCCAAGAATCTCTTGTTCCAAGGTCTTTTAAGACTGAACTATCCAATTAAGACCTGACACCTAGATTATTTCCCTTTTAACCTAATAACTGATCCCACAGAGCTGCAATGGGGACTTTCCTGCCCAATTACAAAATGCCACCCTAACCCATGAAGAAGAAGGAAGAAGAAGCATGAAGAAGAAACCCAGGATGACACCCTGTGTCCTTCCATCTACACCACACTAAAAATCCCAAAACCTCAATTTCTCACCAAGTGATACACCTACACTGCTCTCTATAATCTATTTCACGCTTTTGTGGATTCCAGTCTATCTTGAAGTCTGGGAAACTTTCTCCATGGATGAGGGTCAAAGTCACTGCTCCCCTGGGGGTCAGGGCACCCCAGAGCAGACAGAGAAATATTCCCGGTGCCCTGGGTTTGCACATCTGGGGTGGTTTATTCAGTGAATAACCCATCTCCACAGCCATTCAGTATTTCCAGTTACTTACCAAGGGCACCTGAGATTTTGGTGGGGGGAAACAGAGACAGTGATATGAGACTCTTCTGAGTCTGGCAACAGAGTCACACCGAGAAAGTTACAAAACCAGAAAACTTATTCCTCATCAAGTGTATTTCAAACAATTCTGTCTGTTATTCCAGCACGTTTACTGCCATTTTACTGTGCCATCACTGCCACTGAGGTCACTGGGTAATTGTTATTGCAAAATATTTGGCCATTAGAAGGTCTTGCTGCATGATGTCATTTGGGCCTGAAGTGGACTTGTTTAGTCTGCAGAAACAATTTTTGTTATCTAAAGCAAGCCTTAAAATTCTGCATCTGTCTGAGCCTGGAATTCACCCAACCATACCAAATTTTCAGCCCAATATCTTGCACTAATTATTTAATATCTTCTTTTTGACAGAGGTAAAAATGGATTTTCTTTTTTACTTCCACTGGGCTGGTGTATCTCCAGCTCATAGCAAGCACGTGAAATAGATGAACTGAGTTTTCTAAGAATTATGGCCACTTGCACCACATGATGATGCAAATGAACATGCAAGACTGTCTGCAAAGCCAAACACAACCTCCAGCCCTGAAGCAGATAGATCTGGCACCTCAACCTCACAATTTTACAAGCACTATCTCTGTATTAATCAGAAAGTCTTTATCTCCAGCATTGCTTCTGACTGTGCTACTGTGCAGTTTATTTCCCTGTGGTTAGCTGACAAAATAAATAAAATAAAGCTACTACTTCCTCTTCTGCTTATGCTGCTTTCTATTAACCCAATCTTTCTAAACACATTTACAGATATGTCTATTTTCATAATGACACTGAAAGCTCCTTAAATGTAAGAAGAAATTCTCTTCAGTTTATTTTTACAGGATCTCCCAAGCATCTTTCTGTGTTTTTTTGCTTTAGCAATGCCTGAATTTTTTAAAGGAAGGATTGGTATAATTCACACATCTGTTACCTCATGGAAGAAAAAAAAAATCAGCAAGACTCTCCTTTTACAGCATAAGAATCCCACTGAGAAAAGAACTATGTATCCTATGTTAAGGGAAGGAATCAAATAATTAATTGCATCAGAAAGTAGGGAGAGAAATCCCTGTGGGTTGAAATGTCACAGAGCAATATCACAGCATGACAGGCACTCAAAGGAGAAACTCAAAGGAGTTTGGAATCTGCAAAGGTGGAAAACACGAGAGCAACAGGAGATTTCAGTTCCTCCACAGAACAAGTCATAACAGGGAGGGTAAAGGTTGAATTATCAGACCTGTAAATAACTATCTATTAAAGGCAGGAATCAGATAACTCACAAGGAGAGGAGCAGCCCGTGGTTAAACCTGGAAAGTTCAGTAGGCACAGATCAAAACTGATCCATCACTGTAATAACAGCCACAGTGTATTTGTACACACCCACTCAGGAGCAAAGGAACCAAGAAAATCCTTCTCATTAAATCCAGGGAGGCTGCAGGCAGGTAAAGAAACCTCACCCTGCTGCAAAGGTCACAGACAGACTGGAAATGGGGGAGAAATATGTGAGCTCATCTCCAGCACTGCGCATCTTGAAGGTGGGTTAACTGTGGCTGAAATCTTTTCCTCTGCAAAGGTGGGGGAGCACTGGCCAGCTCTGTGCCTCCTACAGACCCTCACAGGTGTTAAAGTCTGATTTTCCAGCTATTTTTATTTTTTTCCCATTCATATTCCAAACCTTTCCATGGTGGTGCTTTTCCTCTTGAATCCCACTCATGATTTCTGTGCCACCAGTTCTACATCTGTGCCTGCCTTTCTAATCTCACATGGCTCTGTCTTTATGTTTTCTTGCAGCTCTTTTCTCCCAGCTTCACAATTTCTCATCATTTTGAGATGAGTTTGATGCAGCTGGAGATAGGAAGAGGAGAGGAAGAGGAGAGGGAGAGGGGAGGAGAGGAGAGGAGAGGAGAGGAGAGGAGAGAGGAGGATTATGGAGATGGGATTAGTTACAGGGAGGTCCAAAAAGCTGTGAATAAACCCATTTTCCCACTGTGGGAAGAGCCACCAGCCTTGCTTGGAACCCCTCATTGTACCAACAGGCCACCTGGAAAAGGTGAACAGCCAAGGTGGTGAAATGTGCTGCAAATCCCAATTTTTTCAGAGTAATCAGCCAAAAGCTGGAAGCAAGAAGTTGCAGAAGGATGGCGTGGCACTGGCTGGGTGATGAGATGGCAGATGGGACCCAGTGTTAATGAATGCAAAGCAATGCACACAAGACAAAATAGCACTAACAAAACACACACAGCAGCAGCTCTAAATCAGCTGCTTCCATTAAGGAAAGAGATGCTGCATTCATTGGGGATAATTTTCCTGAAATGCCTACTTAGTGGAGGAAGGAAGCAGGAAAGCAAACAGGCTGCTGGGAAGCATTAAAATCTTAAAAAAGGAGAAAGTATCCTCATAAATCCAACGTGCACATGCACGTTTGAGTGGCCACCTGCACTCCTGGGTATCTCATCCTCTCCAAGAAGCAGCAGTGCAATAAAAAACCTAAAGAAATCAGATGTGTGGAGTGAAAAGAGGCAGCTGAAGGGGACCCTGGAAGCATCGAGCACCCAAAATTGTCCAGAAAAGGTAAATAGAGAGTTCTCATTTTTCTCCCTGATGGTGATCTTTAAGAATGTGTAAAATAAAGCAGTGCTGAGGGGGAAAAAAAGAAGCCATTAAATGTCTCATTTATGTCTCATTTCCCTAAAGCATTGATAGCAGCTTTTGGTGGATGTGGATGATTTATGTTACAGATCTCCTCTGAGGGTGAGGGCTGCTAATATGCCAAAATTGCATTAGAGGGCAGTGCATGGCAACCTAACTGGAGTTTTTTGGGGTGGCTGTGAGAAACCAGCCTTTAGAACCTCTGAGGATCAGGAGAGCAGAGCAGCTCCCTCTCACACAGGTGGGAAATGGTGGGGATCAGCATGTGGCACAAAAGCAAAAGATGAGGGCTGATCAGAGCAGTGTCAACCTGCTCAAAAAGTAGTTAAATCCCATTAAATGGTGGTTTCCAGCCAATGGTGGAGATCTCAAGCAGAGTACCAATCCTGCTACAAACCACACTTTTTGTGGCGACCCTGCCAGAACCTCCAAACCTTTCTGGATTTGATTATTTGATT